CGCATCTGGAGTGTTGTGTGGTGTTGGCTGGATGCAGGACACGAGTGTGTTGGGAGCAGCTCCGAGGAGATGCCAGACCTGTGTGTGTGGAAGGCCCAGTTTGCCCACTTTATCGGTTTGTTCGCAGTTGCCAATGCCCTCAGCTTGGCTCGCCCCGTCAGGCGCGCGCCCCCTTCAAGATGGGGAGGGGAACAAATTTCGAGAAAGTGGCAAGTGTTTTGAGTGAAGCCGCCCTTTGTGCAGGAGCAGCCTCCCTCTCCGTGATTCCAGTCTTCAGTTCGTGAGGAGAGACTGAGAGAAGCCGTGAACCTTTTTACTGGGAGTGGAGAAGATTGCGGATGGGGGGGGTTTTGAATAGAGGTGTTCAGGATCATAAACCAGGGGCTTCAATCAAGTAGGTGAGGAAGGAAATCTTGCCAGCGGCAGCAGGAGGGTGGGTGCCCTGTCGGGGAGATGGATCGAGGGGGCATGGGATAAAGAAACAGAGGGGCTTTCACGGGGCTGGCACACAGAAGTGGGCCCAATGGCCTGCTGCAGCTACAGTCGCTGGCTTTGCTGATGCTGTACCTTGTCTGCCACCCAGTGGTTACACTCTGACACTGCAGCCACTACAAACGATTATCTCCTCCATTCACCCAGTGGGTTAGAGCCAGCTCTGAGGCTGAGTATTCCCGATCGACCCACCCACCTGAGGGGCTCCCAAAATCTGACCCGCTTTCAGCATTAAGCGGCAAACAGAGAAAGCTTCCAGACAGATTCTATCAGCTGGTCAGGTAGTGTCTGCAGGGAGAGAGAGAGAGACACAGACAGACAGAGTGGTAGGCAGGCAGACGGTGAGTTGATGGGTGCGATCTCTCTGGGATTGGTTAGTTCTCAGGAACGTAGAAGAAAGTGATAGCCTCTCTGCCACGTTCTGCTATTCAATTCGATCATCTACCTCAATGCCAGCCATTCCCCTCAAAACCCTATTAGTCTCTAACCTGAGTGTCAAAGATGGAGCCTTTGAGGTCAAGATTTCCAACGATCCCTCTCCTGCTAAGTGAAGAAATCATCACCCCCGGAGGGAGCACGAGACAAGGTTTCAAGGGCTCGCGGGATAACAACGTCCTCTATGGAGCTCATTATGGTTGCTGATGGGGCCCTTTTAAAACCTTCTCCATTCGCACTTTGTCCAATGGAATCTGTGCTCTCTTCCATAGACACCACTCCCACTGAGAAGTGTTTGCTGCCTCTCTGGGGTCACACGTGCTCGGGGCGGGGTGCAACATGGCTCAAGGGGCAAGCATAACAGATGGTGACAGTCAGCCGCTCCTAACCCCTTTATTTTCTCTCTCTCTCTTTCCCTTTCTCCTTCCATTGCAGATTCGTCAGTCCCCAGCCACCAGATTGTTATGAACCCAGCGAAGCAGAGAATACTGGAGCAGTTTGCACTTTATAACGCGGGACAGATTGACAGCGGCGAGCTGCTGTGCTCCGCCCCTGGGCATGGTATGATCCCACCGAGACAGGGTGGCAGCTTCATTGAGTTTGTCTTTTCCTCTAGGTGTCACAGGCATGGCCAATATTTAGTACACATCTCTAATGACCCCTTCAGAAGGTGGAGGTGATGAGCAGAATAGATGAGAGGGGGCCAGAAGAGGTAACATATTTGGATTTTCAAATGGCAGTCTCTAAGGTCCTACGCATGAGGCAGTTAAGTAAGATAGGAGCGTATGGTGTGGGTTTAGTGCATTAGCATTGATTGGCTAACGAACGGGTAGGGAGGTGGGATAAGGAGGCTATTTTCAGGATTTTATTAGTGGCGCCCCACAGGAATCAATGCTGGGGCCCAATATCATTTACAGTCGATAGGACTCAGAGGAGGAAAGTACTGTCACCAAGTTTGTGGGTGACCCAAAAATACGTGAGAGGATAAAAAGCGAGAATGACACAGTCTGCAGGGGGATAGTGACAGCTTAAGCGGGTGGTCACAGTCTTGGCAAATGGGATACAGTGTGGGGAAATGAGAGGTTACACACTCGGGCAGGAAGAATAGAGGAGCTGAGTATTATTTAAGTAGAGAAAGACTGCAGAAAGCTGTAGAACAGAAAGATCTGGGAGCCCTTGGGGTCTATGGGTGTGAGGCTGGAAAAGCACAGCAGGTCAGACAGCATCTAAGGAGGAGGTAAGTCAGTGTTTCGGGCTGAAACCCTTTGGGGAGGGGGAGATCAGCCCAGAAATGAATTGGGGTAGGGGCTGGGGAAAGGTAGGAGAGATGGTGATAGGTGGATGCAGGTAGGGGGTTATTGTGATTGGCGAGTGGAAAGATGGACAGGTTAGGTCAGGTCAGGAGGGAGAGGGTTGGACATGGGATAAGGCTGGGGTTGGAGGGATTATGAAGCTGGTGAAACCAATGTTGAGACCATTGGGGCTGTAAGCTGCCAAGGCGAAATATCAGGTGGTGTTCTTCCAGTTTACGTTTGGCCTCACTCTGACAGTGGAAGAGGCCAAGGATGGATGTGTTGTGGGGGGGG